TAAAATTATGGTATATATAACGTGTGTGTGTGTATGTGTGTGCACACATACACAGACAGTCCCTGATTTACAATGGTTTGATTTATAATTCTTCAACTTTACAATGGGTTTATCAGGACATAACCTCATCATAAACCCAGGAGCATCCCTGTTTACAATGGTTTGGCTTATAATTTTTTGACTTTATAATGGGTTTATTGGGTATGGAATTCATTTTCAACCTACAATGGGTTTTTCCATATATAATGCCATCATAAGTCCAGGAATATTTGTATACACCATTATATATATAATTTATATGCATATATCATATAATTATATATATCATGTGTATAATCTACCTTGCCTCATTTCCACACACAATCAATTTAAAATTTGCTCTCAATTATTCTGAAATTTAAAAACATATGCAGATTCTAGAGTTATATCAGACAATTGTAGAGAAATCGCAGAGATTATTATCATCCTGTTGTTTTGTGGATAAGGAACCTGAGACTCTAAAAAGATATGATTAAAGCCGTATGATTAGGGTCAAAATCTGAAAAGAGTACATAAGTCTATACAATCCATGTAAATCTATAAAAAATACCATGATTGCTTTTTGACATTTCCTGGCTAAAATTCTCTACCACACTTTGAAGTGGATCTTTTCTTGCCTTCAACTGTCCCTAGACTATTCAATTTCATTCTACTCCTGGCAGTGTTTTTATTGGCTTGTTTGTGTTTTAACTATTTGGTTTTTGAATGTGAGCTGTTGTCACAGAAGGGAATCCTGTTGGATCAATTTTGAAAGTTTGAATTGTTCCAGCCCCCAGACCTCATCAGAGATACCCTGGACCCATTCATTCTTCAGGTGCAGAAAACCTGTCCACTGTTAGTTGCCATTCTCAAACTGGGCTGCATTTTCCAGTCAGTATCTGTTGGCTCTTCCATGATTCTCCTGCCTTTCCCCTTATAAAAATAAATAATACACAAGCCTTGTCACTGTTTGCAGTTTGTCTTATTAGTCTGTATTTTGGATTCTTTAGGGATGTATTTTCATTTAATTTTGTTGCATATGATTTTAGTGACTTGCTGACTTTGCTAATTAGGTTATCTGACTGTTTTATGTGAATGCTTGGAAAAACCTAAAAGCTGTTATGCCACTACTATCACCATCTTTCCAGAATTCTTGATTATTTTTCTTTTCTTTTCTTTTTTTTCTTTGAGATAAGGTCTGACTCTTCACCCAGGCTGGAGTGCAGTGACATGATCATGGCTCAGTGCAACCTCCAACTCCTGGGCTCAGCCTCTTGAGATCCTCCTGCTTCAGCCTCCAGAGTAGCTGAAACTACAGGTGCAAGCCACCATGCCTGGCTAATGTTTAATTTTTTTTTTTTTAGATGGAGTCTTGCTCTGTTGTCCTGGCTGGAGTGCAGTGGTGCAAACCTCTACCTCCACAGTTCCAGGGATTCTAATGCCTCAGGCTCCCGAGTAGCTGGGACTACAGGCACAAGTCAGCATGCCTGGCTAATGTTTTATATATATTTTGTTTGTTTGTTTGTTTGTTTTTTGAAGGAGTCTTGCTCCATCGCCCTAACTGGAATGCAGTGGCATGATCTCAGCTCACTGCAAACCTCTACCTCTCTGGTTCCAGCAATTCTTGTGTATCAGCCTCCCAAGTAGCTGGGATTACAAGCTTGTTTTTCTACCATGCCCGGCTCATTTTTCTATTTTTAGTGAAGATGGAGTTTCATCATCTTGGCCAGGCTCGTCTTGAACTCGTGGCCTCCACTGATCCACCTGCCTCGGTCTCCTACAGTACAGGATTGCGGGCCTGAGCCACAGCGCCCAGCCTAAAATTTTTATAGAGATGGGAGTTTTGCTGTTACCCAGGCTGGTCATTTCTTTCATTTAAAAAGCTTTATTGATTTATAATTTACATACCATTAAGTTTAGCCACATAACATTTAATGGTCTAATATGTTTGTGAAGCTGTGCAGTGACCACTATAAACAACTTTAGAATATTCTGATCACTCCATGAAGAAACCCATATCATTAGCAGCCATTCCCCTCTCCCTACTCCCTCACACCTAAGTAACCACTCACCTTCTCTCTGTCTTCATACATTTGCCTGTTCTGTACATTTTATATAAATGGTAGCATACAGGATGTGGGTTGTTTTGTAATTAGTAGAATGTGACCGAAACAACTATTTAGTCATTTTTAAAGTCATTTATCTCAAATGCACAACATCAATAATTTCATGGTAAATTGTGCGGTGACCTGGTAGTTTAGGATTTGAAGTTGGTTTCCTAATACAGGGCAATAAAGCACCATTTGAGAATATGGCATTTTAATTATAATAATAATGATAAGTTTAATAATAAAATGTAACATTAATTTTGCTATGTGCCAAACTATTCAAAGAACCTCACATATATTAAAGCACTTAATATTCATGTAAACACATGATGGAAATGCTATTTTCATCTTCTCAGTTTTATTGGTGCAGAAACTGAGGCAAAGTGAAATGAAGAACTTACCTGAGCCAGATGACACAGCCAGATGCTACACCCACATAGTTTGACTCATGCTCCTTGTTCTTAACTACTATAATACAGTACCTTTCTGACTTTGAGGTGTTTTGCTAAATATCATTCTCATCCTCTAAAGTGGTAACTGCAGAAAGCAACTTAGTGTATCTTACACTCTAAGTTCCTTTTGATCACCCATGTTACACAGTACTGATAGTTCACTGGTCCTAAAGCTAAAAACTAAGATGATTAAAAAGAATGTTGTTTAATTCTATTCATAGTATTTCAATCTTTCTCATAATTTTTTTGTTTTCTATCTTAACTAAAAAACAATTTGAAAATCTTGTTAACTGTAGCAGGCTAGGCTGTTAAACACCAATGACTACTTTCTTCCAAAAATGTATTAAATATGCAATTGAACATATTCAACTATAACTGACAACATGATGCCTCTTTACTTGATGACGTAGAAAGAAGAATAGGTAGGCCTAAAAGTAGTTGATCACTAAATACAAGATATTAAAGTATAACTTAGTAAGCCAAGTGTTAGCTTTAATTAAACAAAATTAATTGTAATCATGTAAATTCTCACAGAACTCTATAACAAACAAGAAAAGAAAGAGCACAAACTTCTACATAAAACTGACAAAGCTAGAATAATAACTCTCAGTTTCCTTGTGTCCTGAATCAACCCATCTAGGAATCATTCTGCCTCCCTTGAGAGAAAAGGAATTTCCTATTGAATATAAGCTTCTTTCTTTCTAAAACGTTAGAGAAAGTTTTGAAGAATTTTTCCTCTTCAAGTTGCCAAAATTACTTCTAGATTGTTACTAACCATAATAGAATTTCAACATATTACTTGGAAAGTTACTAGGAGAGAGTTTAAGAAGCATATTCTCATGTCTAAGATTCCCTTTACACGACTATATGTGCAAAACTTCATCTTCTTTCATCAAGACACCCCTCTCCCCAGCATCTTCAAGCCCAAATCCTGTCTTCTGGGCATGACATAGGTACTTGGAGCTATGTGCTCCTTACATGGTGTGAAACACATAATTTTTGATTTTATGTAACATCAGCTGAATCCACCTTTTGTGGAAACATAGGTTGGAAGAGAGAGAAATCAAACTTTAAAGAATGTATTTCTAAGCAGAATCTTTTGAAACAGCCCTGCTCATAAAAAGAGCAGATGCTATAACACCACAAAAAACCAAAGTCACATTTTTGAACTGCTTCAGTGAAATGATATTTTAATATGAGAGCAACAATAAAATTAAATAGCAGTCAGGTTTAGCTCTTTCAGTTGCAGATACTTGCTGCCAAGTGAATCAGTATGGAAAACCACAGAAGGCATATCTTTCACTGGCAGCATATCTCACACAGGATTATTTTGGAAACCAAATGGAATAATTCCTCTGAAAGAACTTTGCAAACTGTGAAATTATACAAATGTATTTATAATTATTTTTGACATTTTCTGGGTAGTTTTGTAAAGAGAATCTAAGTGTAGTTATACTTCTCATTTAGAAACATGATAAATGGCAGTACATTTTTTTTTTCAAGTTACTGTTCACAGGTTGGAGTAGCATCTTTAATCCCCTAAGCACAGTTGCCAACTCAATTTCTACTTGAATTTTGCCTGATGGAATTTATTTCTTATAGATGTTCTAAATACCAGATTTCTAACCCATTTTTACTGTTTCATTCATAATTAGCTTAAATTCGATAAAATAAATATAAATATTAGGCTCATATTTAAAATTGTGTTGAAAAACACATTCAGAGGGAAAATATTCTCCATGTTATAAAGTGGATGGTATGGAAGGAAGAAGGGAGTTACTTGTGCAGTTGAAGGATGAAGAATATATTGGTAATGTCTGACTGCTTATTCTCCTTCCCTCATTCATATGTTGAAATCCTAAGGTGATATTATCCAGAGATGAGATCTTCAGGAAGATGACTAGGTCATGGGGGTAGAGCCCTCATGAATGGGATTAGTGTCCTTATAAAATAGGCTCAAGGGAGCTCAATTTATAAGGATTCCACTTGGACTCTACCAAGTGAACACACAGCAAGAAGGTGCCATCTATGAACCAGGAAAGGAGCCTTCACCAAATACCAAATCTGCCAGTCTTGATCTTGGACTTCCCAGCCTCCAGAATCACAAGGAAAAAAATTCTGTTGTTTGTATGCTACCCAGCTTATCTTGGACTTCCCAACCTCCAGAACCACAGGAAAATAATTTCTGTTGTTTATATGCTTTCCAGCTTACAGCATTTTGTAATAGCAGCCCAAACAGACTAAAATAAGTATTATCTTTTAACTTAGAGTTTTAAGTTCACATTATAAAAGTATACCTTTCAATTGATTTGTGTATGTGTACAAAACACATAACAGTAAAGCATTTTAAACACGTGTCACAAAGATAAAATGTCTAGATTATAAATGTGCTTCCAAATGGAAGTGCTTTCTGGAAACTTACCAGTTGTGCAGTTTTTAAATTCAATATCATCAATTGCAGCTCCTCCTCCTAGATCCCTTGTTCTGATACCTTGAAATATGACTTCAAAATTCCTTAATTTTCCTAGGAGGATATCAGCCTTTTGCCAACGACTGCCAGAGTTCTGCTTACTTTCTTCCCATACTTTTGATAGTCCTTTCTCTGTCTGAAAGTAAAGAATTTTGTATGAGAGAAAGGTTTTTTCATGTTTAAACATGAAAAAAGATGCCACAGTGTCAGGGAAAACCCAGTTAGTTAGCTCAGAAGCATTTGACCAATAAAAACTGGAATAAAAACTATTGGATCTGTGAAAGCTAATCACACAAATTGCATCATTCTTGTCAAACCCAACTGAAACAGTCAAGTGGTCGGGAGTTGGGGAAAGCACTCAGAGTACATAACACTGCTCCAATAATGTAATTATCTGCAAACCTGGCTGCTGAAACTGCCAGTTGTAACCTGAAACTAGTTATATCTGATAGATACAGAAGCAATCTGCTGAGACTCTAAACTAGTTTTACCCATCATGCACCAGTCAGAGCTTGCCAGCGTTGCAAAACTAGTGCCAATGAACTTTCTTTTACAACAATATGGAATGTTTCTCTTTTTTTATTTTGTTTTCTTTTGTTTTTCCCAAAAAAACTTTTATTTTAGGTTCAGGGGTACGTGTGCAGGTTTGTTATGTGTGATGGATGTTTGATGTACAGATTATTTCATCAACCAGGTACTAAGCATAGTACTAAACAGTAATTTTTACATTTCTCTTTTATAAAACCTCCAACTCTCTCTTTGTTCTTCAGATACCTGGTCTGTGTTTTGCCCCAAATTACAATTCTTGCTTCTCTCAATAAAATTTTTTAGAGATTGTTATTGATATTTTATTTGACTTCAACATGTCTTTGATAACTATGACATAGTTTATCTCCCAAACAGAGGCATATTAATCTATTAAAGTATTACCTAAAAGAAAAACTAGCAGAATTAGCAATATATTTATTTTGCAATTTTTAGGGACATCATTATTAAAAATTGCTCTACTCAGTAAAATCTGCCTGTAATTGCATTTACACAAAATTCTTGATATTTGATTGAATCTGAACAGTTTGCTGAAGCCTTGGGTTTATAGTTCTCGATGTCCCTACTATCCAAACTTATATTCACATTGTTTAATTTTTCAAATTACACCTTCCCGTGAAAAGCTTAAATCACTGACACAGGAAAACAGAAAAGGAAAAATATGTTGGAGAAATCACTTATTCCTGATGGATATAACAAAGGAATTATGAAGTGAATTAAGTATGGAGGAAAAGTGATAATTTTAAGACCAGTCAGATGTCAAAAAAATTATATTATTACATAATCATATTTTGATGATCATAAGTTATGTTATAATGTAATCATTATAAAGTAACAACTCTAATTGTTTCTACATAAAATTTTTAATTAAAAAGGAAAAAATCAATTCTCTAAAAAACTTATGTAAACATGAATATCTGAGGTTGGTTAACTAGTAATACAATATTCTAATATATGAACAATCTCAGTATAATGTAACATGACAGAAAATGACATATAATCCCAGTGGTCAAATAAAAATGGCGACTTCATTAAAATAGCATATTAACCAGATGAGCACCAGACAAGGCTTAGATTGTATACACTGTTCTTTGGTATTCTAGGTATGGTCCTTTCTGTTCTGGGAACCAACTAGTTCCCAGTACATAATACACACACTATTATGTATATGGTTAATTCCCAGTTAATATTCCTTGGTCCTAGGTCATAGCATTTGCATGATGATTCACAAGAAAAACATTGTTTTTGAAACTTGGAATGAAAACAGTAGACTACAGGAGAAGATTTAGGAAAATGACATACAGAAGTGAAACAAAATGTTCCAATAGATTTATAGCATACAGGTATGAAATGTCTAATTTACAGATCATTTAAAGAATAAACGCTAAAGAGAAAGAAAAAAAGGAATGTCTGAAGAGGAGATATGAAGGAGTTAGACATTCATAACTTCATACATTCAGGGAACTAATTTTAATAAATCTGTGTGATGCTTTGTTCTGCTGAAGTAGATGAACATGTTTGATCAAGTGGTTCTTCCTCTACATGGTTACAGAAAGCACAACTATGCATCAGTTATTCTAAAATCAACTTCAAAAAGCAACTAACAGTTTATAAATAGATCTTTTAACATCCTTATCAAAACAACAAATCTTATATCCACCGACTCATGTAACTTCTGTATTGAAAAGGATGGAAAATTCACACCTAATTAATGGAATTTCATACCTTTTTGATGACTAAAGAAGATAAGTCCTTCTCAAGGTTAGGTTTGACTCTCAGTGCGGTCTTAGTGATTTGAAATCAAAGAGATGATTAGTTAAATTAAAAATTCCTAGCAACATTAGAGGCTGGATATTGATGAAAGCCTGTCTTAATTTACAGACTTAATTCACTTTACTAATTTTTTCTTTTATCTGCCTTGTCAGTTTATAAAGCCACTCAGTAGCTATGCCAAACCCTCAAATAATTTTCAACAAATACCATCAAAGAAGAGCATATGATCACTCTAATAAAAAAATGTGAACCATTTCTTAAATCTTACAACTGGGCTTCTAGTGGAAAGAAAAAAGAGACAAATAATGTATTCCCTGTCATTTTATGTGTTAGAAAAGAAAAAAATGAGGGTGAATTATTTTGCAAGCCAACCATGGATCAACCTAATGATGATGTATTACAGGACAGCATTCTAATATATTAGCTATTGTTTCATAACATCAAATGTTATCCCTATAATTAGCAAAAATATTCATCTAAATGTGCAATGGAGATTAATTTCCTTATCCTCCATTCATTAAGTCCTTTATTCAGCAAACTTTCTAAGCTCACACAGTGCCAGGTATTGTATTAGATGCCAGGGACAAAAAGGTAAAAATACATGGAGCCTGTCATGGAGATGTAATATTTTAATACAGGAGAAAAAGTCATAAAAATAAAAATAAAATACTATTAAAGCACTCTGTGTATGCACATGTGTGTATGTGTGTGTGTGTGTGTTCCTAACAGAGAAACTTTTTAAAAAGTGATTATGTAGTCAATTCCCAAATTTTTATTCCACATATGTCATTACTTCACCTATTTTCACCTATTTACTTAATATGCTGATTTAATTATTTTTTAATTATAAAAGTGAAAAATCTCTCACTCCCAATGCATACTGTCACTGCTGAAGGATTTTTCTCTTGCATTTATATGGATTCTAAACTCAATAATCAGAGGAAATAAACACATGAAACTTTATTAACCACATTAATAATAGTAAAAAATAGACATTAATACAAAAATGGTAAAATTATAGATATTGAAAAATTACTTTGTTCTTATAATTTAACCTTTCTCCCAATTTTGAATTGATGTATGCACATAGACCTTGTGTCTAACATATTGCATATTTAATTTTATAGTGTGTTTGTCTTCATACTTTATGCCAGTTTTTCCTTTTTGGGCTGTGCGAAGAAAGGCAATAAGAAACACTAAAAATATAGAACCACTTCAAACTGCAAAAGTATATTAATAGATAGATCTACTTGGAAGTTCCATTTCATATGTTTAAAGTGAATATAAATTTTTTTCCCAAATAACTAGCCATGTTTTCCAAACCATTTAATCAATATCTCTTTCTTTCCAACCGTTTGAATCTGTTTCTAGAGTTTTTAGTATTTAATAAGGGTAAATAAATATAAGAATGGGTTTTAAGCTATAAACAAAAACCCTCATAAGAACAAAAATAAAATGTAAAACTTGAAAAAAGATGAAACAATAGCAATAAGCCTTACCATAATAATAGTAGAAATATAAATAAACTACAGACTAAAAGCTAGTATATAAAAAGAACTCTCCCCAAAGTCAATGCAAAAACAGTTGAAAGACAGAAAAAATGTGAAAGATAGCTTTACAAACAATTTACAGGAGAAACTTAGTAGCTTGACAAGCATAAAAGGAAACTCTGAGACTTGCTGGCAATCAGACAGTGGAAGAAAGGACATCTAAAGTGTGATGAGTACGCCCAGGAAGTGTTTTGCAGCAGCGAGAAGCAATGGATTTAATATATACATCAAAGCCCAGATGGTTCTTTAAGACACAGAACGAAGTGGAAAATGTAATAAACAAAATGAACATTTTGACACACTCGAAATAATAGCACACATATTATAAAATGTATACAACCAAAGAATATACATTAGAAAGGTTGCCTATGTAATAAAAGGGAAATGGAGTGGGAAAGGGGAATACAAAACTAAAATTAAATACATACAATACAAAATGAAAGACACGACACATTCAAAATGGTATACATATATATATATATATATACATACACACACACATATATATAAACACACACACACACACACACACCACACTAGATATGTTAAAGAAAAAAAACCTTTTTGTATATTTAGCTAATTTGTATAGCTAATGTACTGGGCTGTGAATGGTTTGACTAATTTTAATTATATTGTCTTATTATTGCATAGGTTTTATTTATTCCTTGCTAATATTTATCCTCCTTTATTTTTATTTATTTATTATTATTTTTTGAGATAGGGTCTTGATTTGTTGCCCAGGCTGCAGTGCAGTGGTGTGACTATGGCTCACTGCAGCCTCTGACCTCCCACACACAAATGATTCTCTTGCCTCAGTCTCCCAAGTAGCTGGGACTACAGGAATGCATCACCACAACCAGTTAATTTTATTTATTTATTTATTTATTATTATTATTTGCAGAGACAGGGTCTTACTATGTTGTCCAGGCTGGTCTTGAACCCCTGGGCTCAAGTCATTCTCCTGCTTTGCCCACCCGAGTGCTGGGATTACAGGCATGAGCCACCATGCCCAGCTTCTTCTCTCTTTTAATTTTATTTTTACATTGCCTTAATCTTTCAGAACAATGATTAACAATGAATATAATAGTGGCTATTTACTTAATTTTTAATTAAATTTTAATTAATTAAAAGTGTGACTTTTTAAAAAAAATCACAAATATAAATTCAACAGACAAGTAGTTTTCAAGTATAATCTGAAAATTTTGAGGAAATTAGCATCTTGCAAACATATTCTTGACCTCATCATGCTCCTAGTTCCCTGATAGAG